CCTCCGAGCTGCTGGGTCTCCCGCCCTCGCCCGCCGGCTGCGGGCCCTGGGGCCGCCGCACGACCTTGTCCATGGTGCCGCTGCTCGGATCTCGCGAGCCCCGCCAGCGCGCTGTCGCGTCATGACGGTGCCACGGCCTCGTCTCGGGAGGACGCGCGGTCGGCTGCAAGTCGCGCAGCCTCGCCTCAGGACTGTACCCGAGGCCTTCGAGGACCCCGCTGCTTTGGGAGAGCTCGGCGGCCAACGAGGCCGACGATGAGTTGGATGTGGGGTCCGACTTCGCGCGCTCGCCCACTGTGACGTAGTCGCTCCATGGCGACTGGCAGTCCATGAAAGTATTCTTGGTCTCCAGGCCAGGCGGCAGCTGGCGCTGCACAGCTGGCATGGCCCCCCGTGGCAGCGCACTGCCCGTGAACCCCACGGCGGTGTCGGGAGACCTGGTGCGCTGCGCGACCCCCGCGGACCCGGGGCGCGTGCCGGGAGAAGCGGCGCGGCTTGACCCAAAATGGTTGCCGAAGGGAATGCATGGCCCTGGCCATGTGGTATCCACACACCGCTCACCCCTAGTCCTCAATCTTGGGAGCCTCGTGGGCCATCTGGACCGTCGGCAGGCCGAAGAAATAAACAAATGCAGAAATCCGTCAAAAACGAACGGAAGATCTATGAGTTTCGCATATTCTGGCTTTCCCAAGAGACGTCTTGGAGGCGTCTTGGCCGCTTCGGAAGCTATGTGGAGCTACTGGACCTAATATTGGGCCGTGTAGGGTGCATCTTGGGGCCACCTTGGGCTCTCTCGAGGCCATCTTAACGGTCTTGGAAGCATCTCTGAAGCCATCATGGGCCATCTTGGCCGCCATGGAGGCCATCCAGGCCGTCTTGCACCGGGAACGGGGGGTCCTGGAGCCCCGGTTCCGCCATGGATTCATGAGGCCGGGCCCACCCGGCGACCTGGAACCCGGGTTCTACATATCCGCCGATCCGGCGTGTGAGTTTCTGAGAGCGTGGGCTTGAGCTCGCTCAAGCTTCGCTCTGGGGGGGGTTCAGGGGGGGCGCAAACGAAGAAAACCGACGAAAGAATTGACACGCGAGGGGGCGGGGGGGGAAGGAGAGAGGGGGGGGCTCGCTCAAGCTTCGCTCTGCAAGGGGGGAGGGGGGGGGGCGCCAACGACGAAAGAATTGACGCGCGAGGGGGGGGAAAGGAGAGACGTGGGTGGGGGGCAGAGAGAGGGGGGGGGGCAGGAAGAGGGGGGGGGAAAGGAGAAAGGGGGGGGGGGGGGTGAGAGGGGGGAGGGGGGGACAGGAGAGAGGGGGGGAGGGGGGGGAGAGGGGGGGGGAGAGAGGGGGGGGGACAGGAGAGAGGAGGGGGGGGGGACAGGAGAGAGGGGGGGAGGGGTGGGGAAAGGAGAGAGGGGGGGGAAGTCGTCAAGGGCTGCGAATCGCAGCCCTTGACGTCAGGGCTGCGCTCACTTCGTCCTGGCGGCCGCGTCATGGCTGCTCACCGCAGGGGCCGATCTCGTCCGCCATAGCCGCACAGATACCTGCAGTCCACGGGCCGCGACGGGCTCTCCAGGCTTTACAGGGAGCCCTCGACGAGGGCCGACTGCGTCGCCGAGCTGGTGGCGCACAGGTTGGCGGCCAGCGATTCCACGGTGGAGAAGGCCCACGGCGCGGAGGCCCCAGGGCGCAACAATCTCTTGGATTGTTCGCCCTCTACTTCAATTTGGTCACGACGTTGAGTCACGTATCCCTGTGGGCAAGCGGAGCAATCGACGCGATTGTCGCGCCCGCGAGGCCGCGGCCGCTCACTTTGAGAAGGTGAAGGCCTTTCCAGGAGTCGTGGAACACCATCGCCGCGCAGCGTGGCCTGAACGCGCCCGCGGCGAGGTCTGCTTCCAGCTGGACAGCGCGGATTTGCACATCCATCAGGAGGTGCAGTCCGCAAGTTTGGATAAGTTTGGCATACCCCCTTGCCCGCGGCGCCCCCAAGCGATTTCGCCGGCGGCTTCGACAAGGACCTGGCCGCGGGGCAGCTCGCGCGGGAGTGCGCGGCTCAAGCCGGGCGGGGCCCGTGCCCGCGCGGCCGCGCCCGCGCGGCCAGGGCCCCCCGCGCCGCGACCTGTCTGCCTGCGCCGGAGACGAGGCAGGTCCATCATGCGGGGTAGGCGGCGCCCCTCGAACTCCCGGGACATGCCACGCACGCGACGCGAATGGCCACATAGCAAGCCTCGCGAGCCGTCCGGCGCAAGGACTTGGAGGCAGATCGCGAGGGCCACCTTAATTTCCGAAAAAAAACTTGAAAGCCATGCGATCCAGGGCTGGCGGCCGAGCGAGGATGATTACGGCAATGGATGCGTTGCCCGATTCCTCCACGATGGCCCCGACAAGCACCCATGAGTCAACAATCTTGCCCTACGAGGTTTCCAAGACGCTGTAAGATTGCCCCCAGAAGGTTCTGGATCGGCCAACCAACGTGGCACCATGCATCTCGCGGTGACCCCTGAGAGGGCCCCACGGCTCCAACGATGCTCCAGATGGCCCTCGCTGGCCTAGACGATAGCGAAATATTGCTCAAGATAGCCTGAGGTACGGAGCCTCCTCATACGCTTGCTCCACAACTCCCTTCAAACTCCAAGTCATCCAACTACCCTCGCCCCCTCACTGCAACATCCAATTACCCCTCGCCCTCTCACCTCAACATCCAGAGGGCTCAAGATAGCCTGAAGCACGGAGCTTCAAGAAACGTTTCCTCCACCGTTCCCTACAAACTCATGATCCTCAAATTGCCCCTAGCCATCTCGCTTCAACTTCAGGCCCCTTGCCTGGGATTTCCCATTTTCGACTTCGAACTGGCATCCTCGCTAATGCTCAAACAAAAGTTTCCCGTGGGATCTGCTGGGCCCTATCCAAACGCATATGAATGCCACGGTATTCTCGCCATCGCCAAACGCCCGCTGCTGCGAGCGGCATGATTAAACGACGGGAGGCAGCGAACTGCCAACATCAAACCGTAGAAAAGCAATGGCTTCTCTGTAATGCAGCAGGTCCCACGGGGGTCCCCTTGCAAAGAACAAGCAGACACCGCGCGACCAGACTCGATTTCAGCTTGGCGGGATTGACAAGAGCACAACAAAGAACGGAAATTGACGGCAACAACAGGAAGGCAAGAGGTGTAAAAGGTAGAGTAAAAATATCGAAAACGACTGGCACAGGAAGAAGATCCCATGCAATATTCGCTGATTTCAAATAATCCTCATCATCACCAGCAGTTGCAATCTCACTCCTCGCACCATCTCATCATCATTGTGATTTCTCCTCCTCTCCCCCCCTCTCCCCTCGCGCGCATCATTCCTGATTCGGTTGGCGCCCCGCCCGAGCACCGAGATCGATGGATGTTCTGAACGGCCTCGGGTAAAACAGTCGCGGGAGCACCGCCAATTTTCATAGGCTGCGCGCTCTGTTGACGGTCTCGCCCTCCTCCTGCACCTCCACCTCCGCCCCCCCCCTCCTCCTCCTCCTCCTCCTCCTCCGCCTCCTCCGCCCCCTCCTCCTCCCCATCGCCCGTCTCTTCCGTTCAACGCCACTCAGCGCTGCCCAGCGCCGCTCAGCGCCACGCAGCCACTCAGCGCCACTCTACGCCACTCTGCGCCACTCAGCGCCACTCTGCGCCACTCAGCGCCACTCAGCGCCATTCAGCGCCACTCCGCGCCAATCTACACCATATAATGACTGAGTGGCGCTGAGTGGCGCAGAATGGCGCAGAGTGGCGCTGAGTGGCGCGGTGGTTTTTCGAACGACGCCGGCCGTCGCAACGGCGTCGCGAGCTTCGCGGGCTCGAGCACCGTCCTTGAAGAACAGATCCGCGAGATGGCGCTCGAGCAACTGGTCGAATTCCTCGGCGGTGCCACCTGGCGCGGACGCTCGAAGCAAGGCCAGCGCGAAGGCCCTGGAGGCCGCGCGGTACCTCGCGAGGGTGACGGGCTTGACGCGGCGCCTCGCCGGGTACCCGGACTCGGCGGGCTCGCCCAGGCGTCTCTGCTTCTGCTCCTGAGCCCGCGCGGCGGCCCCCCGCATCGCCCGCGCCTGCCGTCGGCGGCGAACGGGCGCCGGTGGCGGAGACTCGGCGAGACTGCGCAGGAAGGGCCTGCTGCCGTCGGCGCCGCGATCCGCCGCGGCCCCAGCCCTCAGACTCGTCGCCCCGCGGGAGCTGGGAGCGGCGGGGACAGCTCGGGACGGCCGGCCAGTCGATCGCCCGACCTCCGACCGAGGCCCCCAGGCCAGCGCGCCATCGCTGGAGGAAGGCTGGCTCAGGCACGCCCCGGCATGCCAAAAAGGGCGCAACACGCGCCCGTACCCGAACCGCTGCGCGGCGGAGCGTGCACGGCGATGGCGGCTTCGATGAGTAGACGGGCCGTCGGCCAGGGCTGCGACTCTGGACTATGGGTTCTGCGCTTGGAGGCACTTCGATCTCGTGTGAGCCGCAGGCTAGCCTAGCCCTTGCGGTGCGCTAAAACCTACAGCGCGTTGTCTTGAGACCCACAGCGCCCCCTAGCTGCATCAAGGCAGCGTCGGGGTGGGGGCCGTGACGAGCAGGCGCAGCAAGCGGAACGAGGGGCCCGTACCCTCTCAGCTGGCAAGGCAGGGAATTCCCGCCGCCCCCGCCCCGCCCCTCCTCCTCCTCCTCCTCCTCCTCCTCCTCCTCCTCCTCCTCCTCCTCCTCCTCCCTCCTCCCCTCCTCCTCCCTCCTCCCCTCCTCCCTCCCCATCCTCCTCCTCCCTCCTCCCTCCTCTCCCTCCTCCCTCCTCCCTCCGCCTCCTCCCTCCTCCCTCCACCCTCCCCCTCCTCCTCCTCCTCCTCCATCCTCCTCCTCCCTCCTCCCTCCCCCTCCCTCCTCCCTCTTCCCTCCCCTTCGCCCCCCTCCCTCCTCCTTCACCCCCCCCTCCCCTTTGCTCCTCCGCCGCTGCCGCCTCCGCCTCCCCCCCTTGGCGGCGGGGGGAGGGCACCGGCTGCGGTGCGCGCGCTAGCCACGCGGCTGCGGGAGGCGACGCGGGCAGGGGCGGCTCGAAGGGTGCTATCGGCGGGGCCACCTCGGGGGAGGGGAGCCCTTTGCTCCCTCACTCTCCGCCCTCCTTGCCTTCCCTCCGGCCGTCCCTCCCTCCTCCCTGCGCCCTTCCCCTCTATTCCCTCGCTCCCTCCCTTCCATTCATCCCCTCTCCTCCCCTCCCCTCCCCTCACTTCTCCTACCCGCCCCATCCTTTCCCGTCCCTCCCCTCCCTCCATCCCCGCGTCGTCTGTCCGTCTGTCCGTCCTCCCCTATCCTCCCCGTCCTTTCCGTCCCCGCGCCATCTGTCCGTCTGTCCATCCTCCCCCTCGTCTCCCCACCGAGAGAGGGAGGCCCGAGTTCCCAGCCGACCTCCCGTGGCGAGGGCTTTTGGCGGAGAGAGCGGGCCAACGGCAAACGCCTCAGGGGGAAAGCTCCGTCTCCCACGCGGGAGCAGGCGAGACGCGCTAGACGAGTGCCTGGGCTCTCGCGGGCGACGCACCGCTTACGGCCTTCTGCGGGGGAAGTCGTGAGCGGCCTGCCTCGCCTCGGCAGGGCAGCGCGCGCACTGGAGGTCCTCGGCCCCCGGGGGAGGGAGCAGCTGCCTGATCCGACCCCCGCACGAGTTACGTCTGTGCGCTTCTGTTGAGTAATCTGTGGTTCCACTCTCGGTGGCCTAAAGGGACCACTTGGCTTGGTGGTGGCCCGCTGGGGCGCGAAGGCGAAAGCGATACATCAATATGTAACTCACCGTCGAGAGATGCGTCTTCCTTTTTCCCTTCTCCGCCCCTTGTCTCATATAATCCTCCACCTCTTCTACATATCATTATTCTTATTATTAGTATTATTATTAGTATTATTATTATTAGTATTATTACTATTATTAATATTATTATTCTTATTCTTATTATTAGTATTATTATTATTAGTAGTAGTATTAGTATTAGTATTAGTATTAGTATTATTATTATTCCTACTCCCTCCTTTTCCTCCTTCTCCTCATCGTCGTCCTCCTCACCCCTTCCAGTGGTCCTATTGCTTCTCCTCCTCCTCCCCAGCTCTCTTCCTCTCCCTCCAGATCCTCCTCCTCCTCTTCCTGTTCCTTCTCCTCCCCCTCATCCTCCTCATCCTCCTCCTCCTCCTCCCCCATCCCCCTTCCTTATGCATACCTTGTCCTCGTCGCACAACCAGACATACAAGTAGGGCGTCCTAACAAATTATGTTCTGGAGCCTTACACTGCCCAACAACTAAACAAATGGAGATGGTGTTCAATGTGTGACTCTCGCCCTAGCGCCCATACATTCGTTTTGCAAGCTAGGGTGAACCGTTTCCAATGCGTTCTTCGCCAAGCGCCAGGAACTTTCAACGAACACGCTTCCAACACTCACAAGGATGTAGGGCGGCTCGTTTTCAAAATTGGGTTACCAACGTTTACGGCCCTAAATGTCTAAAACGATGGACACCTGACATAGGAGGAAAGCGGTTCCTTTTCAGACCTGGGCTCTCGCGAAATACCTTTGCAAATGTACGCCCCGACGGGCAACTGTGTGCAGCAACTACACGCGTGGTGGGCGGTTCCGGTTCGAAATATGGCTACCACTCGAGGCATCGTCAAGCCTTGCGGCTCGATGAGCAACATTGCAGCAACTGCATGGACGGATGGCGGCCCCTTTCCACACCGGAGCTCTCGCTGGACATTTCCAGTGCTCTTCTGGCACTGTCGCGGTCCTTTTGGCAGCCCCACTGCTAAAGCGGGGCTCTCGCTGGAGTGGCGCGCCCATGGGATTCTCCTGTTTCAAGAGGGCGCTTTCCCTCTGCCAAGAGGCATGCCCGTAGAGACTTGCGATGTGAGGAGTGGGCTTCGGACGAGAGGCGGTATTACAACACCTCTGGTGCACCCTGGATATACTCTGGTCCTCCTCCTCCTCCTCCTCCTCCTCCTCCTCCTCCTCCTCTCCTTTCCCTAATGAGCAATGCCTCCCTGCCACACCCCGAGGCCAGTCGGAAGGGCGGGCCGGGCGTTTCGCCTGAGACTTCCTTACCACTCATGAGCCTGAATGTGGCTCTCGCCTTAGCGCCGCGCACATTTTACGTCGCAGCCTGGCAGAGGCAGTCCGCGCGCGCGCTCGGGCAAGCCGGGAAACTGCATCGCTAACTGTCCGGATGCAAGCGCGGGAAAACAAGGGGGGAGGGGGCGGCCGCGGGGCGGGGGAAAGGGGGAAGAGCGCTCACGCGGCGGGAGCAGCTGTGGAGCGGCCGGGGCGGCCAGCCGGTACTGCGTCCCTGGCAGCGGGCGCGGGGCGTCGTCGCGGCCACACCCAGGGATTGGGGCCAAGGCTGCAGAGCGGGAAGAGGAATTACAGAGACAGAAAGTGCAGAGCCAAGCCGACGATGTCCCAGTGCAGCGGGGCTGGGAGGTGGCGGTGTACCAGGCGGCAAAATGCAGGAACGGCGTCTGGCGAGCTGGGAGTGGGCAGTGCTGCCAGCTGAAGCTTTTGCAGACGAGTACAGGGGGACGGATCCCACAGAAAACCGGCCAGCGAGGATGCGGTGCAGCAAGTGGCGGGGGCGCGGAAGCGCGTCCACCCAACAATGCCACGACGGCAGGACCGGAGCCGGCCGTAGAGAGCGGCGACGGGATAACCGCGAGACCCGTGTGACCGTCCAGTGGGCAGGAGAATAGGCGAGGGCGTGCCGCGCGCAGGCCAGAGCGAGCGCAGCGACGGGGGAGGGCAGCGAACCCAGGCCGCAGCCAGTGCACGCATCGAAGCCGAGGGCGGGTGGCACCCCGCCCCATGGGGGGGGCGAAGGCTCCCCGCGGCATAGGCGGCGGGGGGGGCGAAAAAGGCGGCGCCGCGCACACTGGTTTAGAGCTTCAAGGATTAAGAGCGGCTCCTTGTAAAGATGTGGCTCTCGCACTGGCGCCACGCACATTAGTTTGAAACATTTGCCAGAGCTTCACAGGTTGAGGGCGGTTCGTTTTCGAACATTAGCGCTCGCCTTAGCGCCGCGCATATTCGTTTTTTGTTTTGTTTAAATGCGAGAGTTTAGCAGATTGAGGGCGGTTCGTTTTCAACATGTGGCTCTTGCCTTAGCGCCGCGCGCTTTCGTCTTGACACATTGCAATAGCTTCGCGGATTGAGGGCGGTTCGTTTTCAATATGTGGCTCTCGCCTCAGCGCCGCGTGCATTCGTTTCGAAACTCTGCAAGAGTTTTGCGGATTCTCATGGGGCTATTGTACCAGCAACGGCGTTTTCGAACGCTTGAGGATTGCCAGGGCGAAACAGTTACGTTGATTTGCGGTGTTGAAATCTCAGGAATGTTGGTCTGGCACGATTCAGGATCGTCAAGGCGCAGCAGTCAGGTTGACTTGTGGCGTTCAAGTCCTGAGGATGGTGTTTTGGCACGCTTCAAGATTTTTGCACGTTTGCTCCCCAAGGGGGCACTTCCCTCAGTGGGAATGAATCCTTGTATGGGGCCTATGAGGAGAAAGCTTGGAGGGAGGATGGATTCCAACATGGTTGATGAGTCTTGGGTTTACACTGGTCCTGCTCCTCCTCCTCCTCTTCAGAAGCACTGCCACCATCGTCACCATCGTCGCCATCATCACAACCACCACCACCATCATCATCACAAACATCACCACCACCATCATCATCAACACCACCACCACCACCACCATCATCATCATCATCATCATCATCATCATCATCATCATCATTATCATCATCACCATCATCATGATTATCATCCTCCTCGTCATCATCACCATCGAGATCACCATCGCCCGTCACCGCCAACCATCAAGCACCGTCATCACAACCAATCATCATCATCATCCTCATCCTCATCATTATCGTCACGATCATAATCACCCTCATCACCATCACCATCACCATCACCATCATCATCGTCATCGTCATCATCATCATCATCATCATCATCATCATCATCATCATCATCATCATCATCATCATCATCATCATCATCATCACGATCATCATCATCATCATCATCATCATCATCATCATCATCCACATAATCATCAGCATCATCATCATCGTCATCATGATCATCATCATTATCATCGTCATAAGCATCAGCATCATCATCACCCCCTTACCCTGCTACTTATCCTCTTCTCCCTCGACGTGTCCGTCCTCCCCCCCTGCTCCACAATCCTCCCCAACCTAGCCCCACCTTCTAACCGCCCTCTCGCATCCTCCTCGCCTTTCTTCCCTTCCCTCCCGCTCCCGCCCCCGCCATCCTCCCCCTGCCCTCGACGACGACCCTGACGACGACGACGACGACGACGACGACGACGACGACGACGACGACGGCGACGGCGACGGCGACGGCGACGGCGACGGCGACGGCGACGGCGACGGCGACGGCGACGGCGACGGCGACGACGACGACGACGACGACCCACACGACGACGCCCAGGACCCCCCCCCTGCAGCGCGAAAGTCAGCCAAGCACACGCAAGAGCGGCCCCACAGGCGAGAGTGACCTTCAGTGCGCGGCCTTCGGGGGCCGCGACGGGCCCAGATCTGCGCGCGCAGGCCCGTGCACCGAGGGCCACTCCCCCGCGGGGCCCGCACCGAAGGTCCCTCTGGCGACAGAGACACAGAAAAAACGCCAAAAGCATCGACTTCTTGGCGCTCCGCGCGGATTTCTCGGATCTGCGCTGGGCCCCCCTCCCTGGCGCGCGGAGCGCGCCAGGTGCGGCGCCAGAGGCGCCGAGAGGGGGCCCCGGCGCGGATCCGAGGAATCCGCGCGGGGCGCCAACTCTATGCTTACGGCGTTTTTTCTTCTTCGACGAGGGATCGCTTTGACGCGTGGCCGAAAGGAGGTGGTGGAGGAGGAGGAGGAGGACGACGAGGAAGAAGAGGAGGAGGAGGCGGAGGAGGAGGAGGAGGAGGAGATGGAGGAGGAGGAAGAGAGTAAGAGAAGTTGGGGCGGATGACCCGGAATAGGAGAGGAGGAGGACGGATTGGAAGTAGGAGGAGGAGGAGGAGCAGGAGGCTCTAGAGAATCAGGAT